AAGAACCGAAGGCGATCTGCTTCACCTGAGTAAGAGACTAGGCCCGAAATTGCAAACACAGACACGTGAAGGCAGGGGAGTTCAGTGCTAGCGACGCCTACAACAACAAGACAGCAAAGGGTGAAAGGAGGGCAATAACATCGGTGTCAGGAGTTGTGTCCTACCCTAAAAAATCTACAAGAGAGGAAAACTGGATGTCTATGCTATATCCACGATCAGCACCTCTCTCCTTCAGCTCATGCACTCTCCGTGGATCCTCGACATTGACAGGAGATTCATTTGTCCAACAAAGGCTCCTCCTGCTCGTTTACCCAACACCAAAAAAGCCACCATGGGCAGGCTTAGAACACATCACAGGTGTCACTACACTTCTTAGCACCGGCACTGGAGGACGGTGGTCCTCAGCACCTACAAACAAAGTCAAATCGAACCACTCCCTCCTATGCCTGCTTAATGAAGGCCACATGTGGCTGCAGCACGGACACCTGTGCCCTGGAGTGCACAACATTGAAAGACTGGGTCTGCATCGGCAAAGACACTTCCACTCTCTGGGAACAAAGCTTCACATCATTCTGCTATAAAGGGACCCTGAGTCTCTCTGTGCACACACTGGTCTTCCTCAACAACAAACGTTCATATGTACAACAAGCAGATCAAGACAAACAAAGGAGACACCACCGTTTGAGAGCATATTTTCACACTGACTCCTACTCTGCCTAAATGCCTGACGCCCTATTTCCCCAACATTGACTACTTATGTTTTAAACTGTTAGCGTCCAAACAAAAGGCGTCCTCTAAGAAGAGGGTGATAACAACAGTGAGTGATTGACACTCTTTAAGCAGCAATACAAATATGGGGGCGCTCACAAAGAAAAGAGACTTAAAAGCACATTTACATTTCTGAGAGTGTCACACAATGGGGAGACGTTGGAAGCAATCGCAGCTATACCCTCCGTTAGAGATCCACCTCCACTTCTTTCTGCAAAGCAACGTGGCAGGGGCGACGAGGAAGAGGAAAGGAGAAGGATAATAGCCCCGGTGGAGGGGCAAAGGAACGAGAAGCGGCGACTCAAAGAAGGAGGGTGAAAGGCTGTCGGGCGGGACTCACCAGGAGGGCGTCTCCGCTGTGGGCGTCGCCGCGGGCGCTCGCGGGCTCCTCAGGCAGCAGCAGCGGCGCGCCTTTGTCGGGCGGCGGCGCGGCCGGGAGGGTGTTGCAGCAGCTGCCGCCCGGACAGCCGAGCTGGCTCTTGCGCGAGTCGGCGCTCAGCGACACGTCGTGCGCGTACGAGTGCAGGAAGGCGCGCACGCCC